TTTGCAAATTGAAAGCATGTTCGTTTTTAAAATAATGGAACTTACTTATTAAAATTGAATTTTAGCCCCCTTCCTGGCAGGTTGGGCCTCCTCGTCTGTGGCTTATCTATTTTTGTATGGCACCTCTGACCCCTTTTTCTGCTATTCTGCCACCAATTCTCCTCTCTCTTCCTTTTTCTACTCTATCTTGTTTTTCTTCCACCTTTTTGTGTTTGCTTTTCTTATTTCCTATCCTTTCTCCATAGAAAGTTTATAAAAATTGCCTCTGCATGTTGTAACATCAAGGAGAGGTCTGGTTTTCTTTCCTTCTTTCTTGATGTCACAGAAGTATTGGATGCCATTTTGTTTGGAGATGGTTTGCTACTAAAGACTTTGTTTTGTTTATGACTATTGAGATACACCGATCTCAATACCAGTATTTGTGCCAATATTGAGCATTTGCACGAGTACTAGTACTCATGCAAATGCTTCTATACCAAAACCCGATACCGGGGCTTTACATATGCAAATGAAGCGGCTGCCTTAGGTCCCACGCTTGCTGGGGACCTCGCGGAAGCCTTCTTGGGAACCACACAGCATTTCTGCTGACCCGCACATCTCCTCCACCTGAGACCCTCTGCCCGCAGACATCAGGCTGGCACCCTGGAGCAGTGCAGCAGCACAGAATGCGTTATGTACAGGTATGGTGCAGCTTAGCTGCACCTGAACTCCCCAGCTACTTTAGAAATATTGCGTGCTGTTTCTGTTCTGTGCTTTATGGCTAGTTCACAACAGCCACAGTGTGTTTTCCAGCCATGATTGGTGCCGTAACGCAATGAATCACATTCCGGTTGGCTCACTTTGTTTTAAGGTGGGAGGGGGCTTGGGCATTGAAAGCAATGACACCGCGGCCTTACCCTATGGGCACAATGCGGTCATTTGCACCCGAACGCGTGGCACATCAGTGCCTGCATTCCTGGCATGTGAATTCAGAAAAAATGCTGCATGCATTATTTTTTCTGACTGCACCAGACCGGAATGCAGGCACTGATGTGCCATTGACTTCTAATTCCCCCGCCACGCCCCTTCCCACCCCAAAACAAAGTGAGCCGCCCGGAATGCGATGGAGTGCGTTCCAGGACCAATCGGACCGGAACTCATTGTGGCTGCTGTGAATTAGCCCTCATTCTGCATTGCTGTATAATGTATTGATAGGATTTGTAGTCCTCTATAACTGATGGTATTCTTCTGCATTGCTGTATGATGTATTGCTGGTATTTGTAGTCCTCTATAGCTGGTGCCATTCTGCATTGCTGTATAATGTATAGCTGAGATTTGTAGTCGTCTACAGCTGATGATATTCTGCATTACTGTATAATGTATTGCTGAGATTTGTAGTCCCTCTACATCTTGGAGTCAGTGGCAGAACTACCAGGGTTGCCGCTGAGACCGGGCCCTGGTGCTCCACCACTGTCCTAAAATCATTAGAAAAACTGTCACATGACACTAAAAATAAGGTATCGGTAATTGGTATCGGCGAATACTTCAGGGTAAGTATCGGTACTCAGACTCAATCTTGAAAAAAATGGTATCAGTGCATCCCTATTTATGACATTAATTCTCTGTAATGCTTTGATGGTTGTCCAATATTTATACTGGATTTGTTGTTATTTTATGAAGATCATAAATAAAGTATTTATGAAGCTGAACTTCACAAATTTAAACAAGAAAATTATTACTATTATGGCCAGCCGAGTGAATAACTGAGCTGAAGTGAAGCCTTGTATGGCTAAAATTAGACGTACATCTGTGAGCCGAAGTGCAGAAGGAGTTTGACTCAGCCGATCCAACATCTAGTTCGGCTGAGCTGAAGCTACTGGAGCTCATGGCAGTAAGAGCGGCAATTAGCTTGGCTATTCTGCTCAGTACCTCCAAGGTAGCGAGCAGAATAGTAAAAAAGGTTAAATGAATGGAAAAAAAATGTTGAAAAATTATTTTTAAAATGTTAAAAAAATAGGAAAATTTAAAAAAATGAAATATTTTAAACAAAAGAAAAAATAAATAAAAAATGTAAAAAACGATGTACAATGACCCGACTGCACGCGATGAACTCCCGTCGCATAATGTCAAATCTGACAGATGCCGGCAAAATAAAAACAATTGGGCGGAGGTAGCGGTGACATCACCGCAAGCTCCATCCAACTGTTTCCTATTGGGCGGCACCTGTCAGAGTCTTATAGCAGGTCCCGGCCAATAAGTAACAACTGGGCGGCTCCGTGATTACAACTGGGCGGAGCAAGCCATGAGATCACAGCTGGATCCGCCCAGCTCTCATTTGCGTGGAGAAAGGTCGGCTGTCACTTCGGCTCAGTCGATCTGAAGCACATGCCTTTGGCTCGGCTGCCTTCAGCTGCTGTACGTGCTATTGCGAATAGCCCGTACAGCAGCCCTTCGGTTCCACTACTGAAGGGTTTAGGCGGCCGAAGCGAGCCGAAGGATCAGCCAAAGCTACAGCTGAAAACGTCGGCTCCATAGTGAATAACCATCTATGTGTCCCATCCCCGGCTCAACAAGGTTTATAGCTCATGTAGTTTACATTCTGACATGATGGGCTCCCCAAGCTCTTCTGCAGAGACAGAAACAAATATATCAATCTTGCTCAGGACCGGATTTACTCTCCCTGCCGCCCCAAGGCGGGGTACGGCAATGCCCCCAGCTGAGGGAATTTTTTTTTTATCAATTGTTTATTTTCACCTAACTTTATTGCTATCACACAGGAACTAACAAGTTCCTGTGTGATAGCATTTGGAGGTGACAGGTTCTCTTGATTGACCCTGTCACCTCCAATACAAGAGTTCTAGCACAGCACTGTGCTGGAACTCCTGTGACAGGTGAGAGGGGAAGAGCACAGCTCTCCCCTCTCACTGTCTACACAGAGTGGCAGGGTTACTTTTAACCCTACCGCTCTGCTTACCGCTCTCCATTCTGAAGGCGGCGGCGGCGGCGAGGAAAGAGGATGCAGCATGGAGAGAGGTAGGTGCATGGGAGGGAGGGGGGCGGCGGGGGGAGGACGGGCCGTCACTCTGATTACAAATGTTATTACATAGTAAATCAAGCACTTAATATATCCCAAACAGTTCAAATCCAATTTTTTAACGCCACTTAGCTTCCAGGCACTTTGTTCTCCAAGCCCTGTTGTGAGCACTTGTAAAGAAACAACTAATTTCTCCTATTCTACATTTAGCTCTGCTTGTGCAAAGCAGGGCTAAATGTAGAAAGTAAATTACCGCCCGGTGCCCGGAATTCTATGTTCCAGATGTCGGGTGATTCAAACCTGTGCCGCCCCTCTGCTCAGTGCCGCCTCGAGGCTGGGCCTTGGTGGCCTTGCTGGGAATCCGGCTCTGATCTTACTATTCTTTGCTACCAGAAGATGCCAAGCGCCACTATTAGCTCAAAACTGGCAAAAACCACTGAGACCCTGGTACACTCATCTACCGTCCAGTGAAGTCAGAAGTGTTCATCAAGGAAGAGTTGCAGTGGTGTTCACTTAAAAAGCATGGCATGCAGTACTTTTTTCAAGTGCACCATAGGTGATACACAGTACAACAGCATCGCACCATGGTTTGCCCATATAACTTAATGAAATGTCACATGTGACATTTCAGTAAAGTTCTTACAAAAAAAAACAAAACAGTGCAATGCAGCTTGATCGAGTTCATCAGCACTGTCCGGGCACACACACACCAGTGGCCATGCAGTACAGCGCGCCTGCTGATGTGAACAAGTCCTTAAAGTGCACTTATGCTTTAAACTACATGGCACTTTCTTATACACCATATGACCTATAGTTTGTAAAAAAAAAAAAAAATTACCATCACACCTATAAATATGGCCAAAAGAATTCAAATTCTTACTGTCTGCTGTTACAGCATACAAATAAATTTTAGACACTTGTGTGTTTCCAATCTTGTGGCCATAGTTTGGGGAAGGCTATTTTCTATTGCAGCATGGATACAACTCAGTTCCACTCTACACAAAATGTATTAAGATATGGCTTGACAAGTTTATATGGAGGAACCTGACCTATATAAAATATTCTTACTGGTTTGCCAATTGTGATCATCCAACATCAGAATCTGGCTTCATAAAAACTTTTTTGAACAGAATGGGCACATATTCCTACATAGAACTCCACAATTTTGTGGAAAGCCTTCCCAAAAGAATGGAGGCAGCAAGAGGGAAAGCAACTCCATAGTAATGCCAATGGTTTTTGAATGGGATGGTTAACTAATTCATATAGATGTGATAGTCAAGTGTTCACAAACTTTTGGCCTACTATCCTTAATGGACTTTTTACTGATTTAGTTTATGAAGAATGCTGCAGGAGAAATCCAAATAAGAAAAGGAGAACATCTAAAACTCCCCGGGTGGACAGAAACAGCATTGAAGACTATGTCAGAGAGAGTTTTCACTGTTGACAAGTAATTAGAAAAATAGAGGCAGACTCCTATAGCTTTAATGCCAATGTTTCAATGGATTCACCCTTTAAGTATTTTATTATGTTGATTTAAATCTTGCAAACCCTGTATGAATTCAGTGCTAATCACTAGACAGCCAATCTGTAAAGTATAGCTCTATACAAAAGCTGTCCCAATCACTAATGAATTACTTTTTAGATAAATCTTATTTGATTTGATATTCTGCAAGCTGATGAATATTGTAATTTTTACAAGAACAGTTGTTCTGTTTTATTGTCTAACCATACTGCTGTACTACAAAATACTTAGATTACATATAAGAAGACAATATGTAAAAATGACCATAGTAAACTGTAAACGTGGTGATCTACCAGGTCAGTGGAAAGATTAAATTGTATATGTATGTATTAAATGCGTATAGGCCTTTACCTATTGTTTTTTTTTTTCTGGGATAACTAAAACATCCTTAGAATATCCATGCCTATTCCCTAACAGAAACATTAGTTCATTCTGATTTTTTACCTTTTTGCCTTGTTTTTACAGAGGCACATGACCACCTATCCTTACCGGTGCACCCTGGCAGACTTTAAAATTGAAAAGAAGATAGGTCGGGGGCAGTTCAGTGAGGTGTACAGAGCAACTTGTCACTTGGACAGGAAGCCAGTGGCTCTGAAGAAGGTCCAGGTAAGCAAGAGTACGATACACAGCATAATTAAAATATTCAATACATATGTGCAACTCTTGAAGAAGTTGTACAGTACTGAGATGTAGTTAAATCATCATGAACAATCAAAATCATTCATGTTTAGAAATCTTTGTGTGATCAATAGCTAGTCAATGTTTTATCTCTGCAAAAAAAATACACCTTTTTTGAATGTATACCACATCTGTCTATTACCAGAATCAGGGAGAAGATCATGGTGGAGCCTGGCAACTCAGGCATTTATTGAAATACAGGCAGATGTATCAGGGCTCATTCCCATGGATGCAAATATAAACATATGGGTATACAGCGTAAAATACGCTGTATGTGCAAATTTTGTTTTATTTTCTTCTTGGTTAAGCATAAGCTCCACGGATCATTGTCCCCATAGTAATCAAAATGTTATATTTACCTGAAAATATTTTCGACAATCTTGTTTTTAATCTTAGCCATAATAAATACATAATACAATAAAAAACCCCCATAAAAACAGAATATATTGTATATTCCCTTTGCCATAACTGATCTATGAGTATGTACCTAGGATAGGGCTCGAGTATAACCACACAGAGCTAACAAACTGGACTGCTGGCAGCTCTACTTGCTGACCTCGGTCCCTCTGCTAATCCTGTATAAGGAGTTTACAAGCTGTTTTCACCTCTTGGTAGTAGATGTAAAAATGCAGTCATGTTTACCAGGAGTCTGCAGATTGCTCTTAAGCCAGCTCTCCCTTCACCTTTAATAAAGTAGATGTTCACAAGTGTTAGCATGTTTTAAAAAGGAGCCATGGTGGTTTTATAAAGTGTGGATGGTTTTACAGAAAGCCAGTGAGGCCTAAAATGAGCTATTACTGCCGGAAGAGATTATTAATGGCAGAAGTGACAAAAACATGAACAACCTGGGACTGGACTATTTAAAACCTGGTCCCACTTTGCGTTTATCATGATACTAGTTGCTTCCTAGCTAGATCAAATCCAGACAATTGTTTCATGTTTACAGTTGCTTGCAGAAGGGAACAATGGCGAAAAAGAAGAAAGCGTAAGATCGTAGTGTGGACAAGCGAGCTTATCAACAATAAAGACCATTATAACATGCTTCAATCCCCACTTTGGCCAGGGATCCTTTCCCACATACAACCTCATGAATTAATCGCTGCAGTAACTAAAAAACAAACAGATGTAAAAGCCCATATCAATTAATCTAAATCTGTGGTCATGTGACATGCTGGATCCCAAGTCTTCTCTCTCAATTACTTTAGAGGGCAGGGGTCTTTTTTCATATTTTCACATTGCTGCCTGGGTGATATGGAATCTTCTAACTAGCTGTTTAGTTTCATGATGTCTTTATGTAGGGGCAAGTTGGTGGAGTCACAGACTGCAGTGTTGGAGCGCCAATCTCTTGGTAGTGGTGCTGATGAGGGACATGGACAGTGGAGTCAGTTGAGTAAACAAAGTAGAAAAAAAACAGGTTCTCAAAAAAAAAACCCTCATGGGGTGGAGTTGGCTTAAACTTGCTTAGAGATGGGTTTTAGCTAATTGTTAATTGTTATATAAAGAAGGCAAATATAAAGTTTTAAAATCTATCCCTTTCAGTGGGGCTACCCATGCACTTAAGGGTTAAGTGCTATTTTTAGTCCAAGTGGTCTAAGGACCATTGACATCATCACTTCTAATGCATGTCCAGTGAGAACACCAAGGAACATTCTACAGCCAGGGCGGTGGGTTAGAGAGGTGATTGCCAACCACCGAGGGACTGAGGATCAGGTGAGTATGTCTGCTTTATTCCATCCCCTAGAGAAAAATGAGCATAGTTACATAGTAGTTACATAGTATTTGAGGTTGAATAAAGACATAAGTCCATCAAGTCCAACCTATTGTGTGTGTGTGTATTTATGTTTGAGTTGGTGTGTGAGTGTGTATTAGTCCATGTATGATTTTGCTCTTAGGCGTATCTGTAACCCTGTAGATTATGGTCTCCGAGGAACTCGTCCAGGAGTTTCTTGAATGATTCCACACTCTTAGCTGAAATCACTTCCTGCGGCAGCGAGTTCCAGACCTTAACCGCTCTAACTGTAAAGAACCCCTTGCGCCCTGGGTGTTGAATTTTTTTATCCACCAATTTATGGTTGTGCCCTCTGGTTTTTGTTACGGAGCTAACCGTAAACAGTTTGTTGATAATGTTGCTGTCGCCCTTGAATAGTTTATACAGGAAAATCATGTCCCCCCTTAATCTCCTCACCTCCAAACATATTTAAGAGAACATATTTAATTTTAGCAACCTTGTTTCATAGCTCAGGTCCTCAAACTCTTTAATGAGTTTGGTTGCCCTCCGCTGGACTTTTTCCAGCTCAAGGATATCTTTTCTGAGTATCGGTGACCAAAACTGGACCGCATACTCCAGATGTGGCCGAACCAGTGATCTGTAAAGTGGCAAAATTATAGACTTGTCCCTGCAATACATTCCCTTCTTAATGCAAGACAGGACTCTACTTACTTTGTTTACAGCAGCCTGGCACTGCGAGCTGTTATTCAATCTGCGGTCTATAATGACCCCCAGATCCTTCTCCGTTTCCGACTTCCCTAGTGGCACACCCATAAGTGTATAGTCCATTTGCCTATTTTTAACTCCAAGGTGCATTACTGTAAATTTATCGACATTGAACTTCATCTGCCATACAGTTGCCCACTCCCCGATTTTATCCAGGTCCTCCTGTAATGTTATAATGTCTAAATCTGTGTCTACTACCCTCTCAATTTTCGTATCATCAGCAAACACTTAGACACGTCTATTCACTCCCTCCCCGATATCATTAATAAATAGGTTAAAAAGCAGGGGACCCAGCACAGAACCCTGGGGCACGCCACTCATGACCTCCGCCCAGTCTGAGAAGGTGCCATTAACTGATACTCTTTGCGCACGTTCTTGTAGCCAGTTTTCTATCCACGTGCACACTAATTCATCTATGCCCATAGCCATTAGCTTGTATAACTTAAAGAAGACTGTCCGTCACCGCTACCAGCAGGGATTTCCCCTCCCCTGTCTCTGTTCCTCCAGCGCTTATTGGAGGACAGACAGGGGGGGGCCGGGAACAGCTGGCTCTTGTTCTAGAGAGGCAGAGCCAGCTGTCAATCAGGCAGCAGGTTGGGTCCCAAAAACATTGCCAGGATCCTTTCTGGTTGCAGTGCAGCTCTGTGTTGTCAGCATATAGCAGGCAGCAGCCAGCTATATGCTGAGTTTGGGTCACAGGAGTACATTAGTAAATATACTTCTGTGACCCAAAAGAGAACTAAAGATAAAAAAAGTTTGGCTTAAGTTCTCTTTTAACGTTTTTAAAATGCCCAGAGTTTTTCTATAAGCTGGCCACATGGCTGGGCAGTTATTCCCAGAAGAAAGACAAGCAGGAAGATATCTGCCTATCCACGTGCAAATCAGTGGTTGACCTGCCACAAAACCCAGTAGCAATGCACATGTGGTACTTGGATTCCTTTCTTTGGTAAATGGAAAAGTAAGGAGTGCCTTGGACTGGTGAATGCACTAATGTCCAGCAACATCTTTAACATAGTGAATAATGCTTTATATTGCTAGTAATAAATCTAATTGTTGCACTCTCTGTTTTTATGAATCCCTTGTGCAAAATATGAAGGAGTTAATAAAAATAATGGCATTCTCCTTTCCAAACAGATATTTATATGTTCAGTTGACACTGGTAGGTTGAATCAACTGTTGCCTTTTAGGTCCCTTTCACACAGGCTGATCAGGAGAGGATCCATGCACGGATCTTCTCCTGATCAGAGCAGTACGGAGAGGATGGCACCACTGTGGCACCCGTGCCTGTACATTTGTTCCTCCATCTTGCGATGGAGAAAAGAACTAAAACTTCCAGACCCAATGTCAGTCCATGGAGAATCGGATGTCCATTTAGATCAGATTACCTCCCGATCCGGCATATACAGATCCAGCTAAATGGATATGTGATCCGTTTTTCTTTCCAGACTTGCCTCGAGGCATAGTCTTACATTGGGCATCCAATTGGGTCCGCTTGAAAAACTGACAGGCGGACCCTATCAGACTGCCCGTGTGAAAGGGGCCTTAATTTCCAGAGAATCCAGTGGTGACATTTTCCCACGGTAGTTGCGTTTTTGCATGCTCCTACTACCATAGGTGTCAACTTACTTCTGCCTAGAATCCCCTAATATTATTGTACATAGAGTCCTTCAGGAAGGAAAAGGGACATTAACATTTGGATTTGGGAGTTCAAATGGAAGTGTCTCTGACATGTGTTACCAAAAGTAATATAAATTCACATATGATTAAACAAAGGTGCTTTGAAATCATGGAGTCGACTTTGTATGTTTAAGTTTTATGGAATATTTGTATATAAGCACATTAAACAATATGTATCAATGTATTTAATTATATATATATATATATACACACTATAATATACATAATTTTGTAATTTGATAAAAACTTGTTATTCTTTACAGGTATTTGAAATGATGGATGCCAAGGCAAGACAAGATTGTATTAAGGAAATTGATCTTCTGAAGGTAAGTTGTGCTGTTGTGGATTTTGTTGAATTTTATAGCACCTGGCAACAATCACCTGATGTTAATGGTATCTAATGCTGGGCACACACCTTACAACCATCGCAAGACTTTTGTCTTGCGATGATTGTAAGGTAATTTAAAAAACGTACGATCTGCCTATCTTGGACAGTGCTGGTCCTGCCTTCAGGTTCTGGGGTGGCTGCTATCACTTGCAGAGTCCTCTGGCTTCATCCTTTCGTGTGCGCTCCTGGGATCAGGGTGTAGTACTGATGCTGCCTGCTGCCTCCGCCTACATGCACAGGCAGTCACAGATTACTAGTTTTAAAAAAAGCAAAAGAAAAAAATAGAACCCACATGCACGGTGGCGCAAGGCATGAGGGGGCTTGTAGTCCCGCTGAAAAATCAGGGGAATAGCACCAGCATCCAACACTCCTGGATGTGTGCCAGATGCTGAAAATCTTTCAGCAAGCTTATCGCTTAAGCATAGTCGAGATCGCCAGCGTGGACAGATTTAAAAGGAAAGTATTATACTTTTGCTTTGCAGGATGTACCGTATATACTCGAGTATAAGCCGTCCCGAATATAAGCCGAGGTACCTAATTTTAGCCAAAAAAACTGGGAAAAAGTATTGACCCGAATATAAGCCGAGGGTGGGAAATGAGGCAGCTACTGGTAGATAGATACCATTAAAATACATTAATATTTATTTAAAAGAAAAATAACCTAGCTCTGTAAGTGGAAAAGGGGGTACAGGGCTACATATCATGTACTACGGATCATTTAACCCATTCATATTAGCAGAGGATAATTGTAAATCTATTGTTCAGTGCACTCTATATGTAGTATATAGTACATGTACATATAGAGTGCCTGCAACAATACATTTACAATGATCCTCTGCTAACATGAATGGGTTAAATGATCCATAGTACAGGGCTACATACAGATCATTTAATACATTCATGTTAGTATAATTGTAAATGTATTGTCTGCACTGTATTAGCAGTATATACTCTATATAGAGTATATACTGCTAATACAGTGCAGACAATACATTTACAATTATACTAACATGAATGTATTAAATGATCTGTATGTAGCCCTGTACTATGGATCATTTAACCCATTCATGTTAGCAGAGGATCATTGTAAATGTATTGTTGCAGGCACTCTATATGTACATGTACTATATACTACATATAGAGTGCACTGAACAATAGATTTACAATTATCCTCTGCTAATATGAATGGGTTAAATGATCCGTAGTACATGATATGTAGCCCTGTACCCCCTTTTCCACTTACAGAGCTAGGTTATTTTTCTTTTAAATAAATATTAATGTATTTTAATGGTATCTATCTACCAGTAGCTGCCTCATTTCCCACCCTCGGCTTATATTCGGGTCAATACTTTTTCCCAGTTTTTTTGGCTAAAATTAGGTACCTCGGCTTATATTCGGGACGGCTTATACTCGAGTATATACGGTACTTGTTTTAATTTCGTTTAAAGTATCAACAGAGCTGCTTTAAAGGATAACTATGGGGTTAGGGCTTTTCACCATAGTCCTCCTTAGGGTAACGGGAGAACACAAACTAGCGTACTCCCCTCACCCCGAGCTCAGTATACTGTGAGCTACAGCTCGCGGTATACTGAGACGCCTCAGCTGAAGCGGATCCCGACAATTATGTCTGGATCCACCCAGCTGCGTGAGTGACAGCTGGCTCTGCCTATCTAGAGGCAGAGCCAGCTGTACCGGCCCCCTTCCCCGTCCGTTCCGCCAGTCAGCGCTGGAGGATTGGAGGGAGGAATCCATCCCCTCCCCTGTCATGGTTCTCTGCCGTGACAGGATCGAGAAGTGAGCGAACGCCGGTATGTGTTCGCTCACTTCCCGATCTACTGAGCCGACCTTTGACAGTTTCTTTGTCGCAGGTCGGCTAGAACTATGAGGTGAGTGAAAAGCACTCACCTCATAGTTCTCCTTTAAGCTGTAAATGGATGTAAACTCCATTTATTCAGTGCAGATTTATTAACAATGCACTTCAAAGGAAGTGCTTTTCAGAGGATATGCCTGCTTCCTCCCAAAGCAGGCACATCTATGAATTGTTCCACTGTCCTTTTCTTAAATCCTAGATTTTATTACTTGCTCTTTACATCGCACCCTAAGGCCACATGCAGATTTTGCTAATAGCTGCGACTTCCAGAGGCAATCACCTATGCCTAACCGCAAGTATTCCTTCCATCTACAATTACATGTGGACAGTCACAGACAGAAGCGGCCAGTGTCAGGCTGGCATTCACTTGAACGGGCAGAGAGACCTCAGTTGTGCTGGCCCACCTGCTGCAAGAATCTGCAACCACAGCTATTATCCCCGCGTACATGTGGCCTAAGTCATCATTATAGCAAATGTATAATAATGCGGCAAACATAAGGGCTTTTAAGGTATCAGAAACACCACTGATATAGCACAAAAGTAGGTTAAGATTACTTTTATTATATACAAAAATATATAAAAGAAAATTTGATTGTACATAATAAAACACTTAAAACAGTGATCCTTCCTTCATATTGTGGCACACAATCAAGACCTCCCTTATAAAGATACCAACAATATTGATAACTTATCCAAAGACCATATAGAGTCCAAAAAATGCGATATTGTCACAATGTCATGGTATCAAGGGGTGCCAATGTTCAACGGATTTTGCGCCCAATATAGGGGCTTCTTCAGGAGGAGGGAAGAAGATACTCTATATAGATAGATATACATGAAGGTAAGTATACATACTTGTATATCTATCTATATAGAGCCTTGGTTCTATATAGTGGGTCGCGTCCACGTGTTCAGTGGGTCGCCGCATGCCCCGCGAAGGAGCTCCTTCCATACGTGCATTGCTTATCGCTCCCTCGCATGTCCTGTAGGGGTGCCTGGACTGGAGTGACATCACATTCTGGCTCCCAACACCTCTACAGGCGCACATGTGAGCTGCACAAGCAATGCACATATGGATGGAGCTCCATCACAGCACAGCTGCCCACACTGCCATGCGTTCCATAGTAGTGCGACTTGGGTTGCGACTTAATGACCGAGGACAAATGTGGGTCCTGAGGTTACACAGGTTGAGAACCACTGATATAGAGTATCATGATGCGGCTTTGCGGCTTCAATATATACAGTATATTTGCAAATGCATGTACCCAGAATCTCTCTTTTTAACTTTATACTGATTAGACAATCTTTGAACATTAGTATGCTCACGCACTGGGGAAATGATGTACTCTGCAAATGCCCCTCTCAATTTGCATCGCCCATACCAGTTTTACATTTATCAAGCTGCTACCATTTAGAAGTAGCCTTTCTATATTATACTCCCTTTACTGAAGTTAAAGTGACACTAAATTTAGAAGTTAAATCTTAAAAATGCATTCAAGTACCTCAATTATTTAAAACACTTTTACTCATGGGAGCAAACTTGGACGACAGGGAACAAAAGTGGCTACTGTTCAAAGATTGTCTAATCAGTATAAAGTTAAAAAGAGAGATTCTGGGTACATGCATTTGCAAATATACTGTATATATTGAAGCCGCATCATGATACTCTATATCAGTGGTTCTCAACCTGTGTAACCTCAGGACCCACATTTGTCCTCGGTCATTAAGTCGCAACCCAAGTTGCACTACTATGGAACGCATGGCAGTGTGGGCAGCTGTGCTGTGATGGAGCTCCATCCATATGTGCATTGCTTGTGCAGCTCACATGTGCGCCTGTAGAGGTGTTGGGAGCCAGAATGTGATGTCACTCCAGTCCAGGACAGTGTTAGCATGAATTCAGAGATTATTTGAGGATCTACAGCTGAGTGATACACAAATAAGTTATATTTTTGTTACTAGTTAAGGTGCTTAAATGCATTTTTAAGATTTTACTCCTTAGTGTAGTGTCTCTTTAACATTTGGGACAAGGTTTTAGTGTTTGTACCCAGTGCAGTGTTTTCTCTTTTAAGAACTTCACCATTTTTTCTTCAGTACTCAGAACACTTAGGGTACGGTAGAATCGGATCAGAACGCACTGCCTATGGTGTGAACTAATACTAAGTAGCACTGTGGGACATCCATGCAATCTTTAGTAAATGTGAGATGGGCAGTGGTTTCCTCTATGGTAACTTTCCACAAACACGGTTCCTTTCCAGTGACTTATAGTAGAATCATGAACAGAGGTGTTATGAAGTGTACCATAGCACTGATTTTTGAAGGACTTTTTAAAGTGTCTCTAAATAACAAATATGTAATATATAGCAGCTTACAAGCCAGATCTGTCTTGAACGTATGGAGGTCTTAGTCTTTAAAATGTATTTTTCTGCATATAACGGAAGAAGTATTGGGAGAGTAAAATATACTATTCCCAATAGTTAGAGCCGGCTTGGTACACTGCAACTCCCACACCCTCTATAATATGAGCTGAGCAATTGGTTATGCACTGATCGCTCAGCTCAATGTCTCCTTTTCCCAGAGGAGTGACTGTCAATCACTGCTGACCATAGGAGTATGTTAGTAAATGTACTTCTGTGACCCAAAAGAGAAGTAAAACCAAAGTGTGTAACATGAAACATGGTCACATCCACCTGTCCACCCTAACACCCACTTACCGGAATCAGGGGTTCTTCTCCAAACAAGCGACTGTAATTTTTTTTAAATTGGAGTGGCTGTAAGTGGCTTCGTAGACACAGCCTCGTCATCCATTCTCAGAATCTGTAAATGGAGAAACTATTGAGTCCCATCTGCCACAGTAGCAGAGGGACTTGTAGTTCTCAAAAGAGTACAAGTGTTGTGACGTCACCACACTTGTAGTCCACTCATGCTTCATCTTGTCCTGTGACTGGAAGTCCGTACCTTGGTATGGGCTAGGGCTGGGGAGGAATAATCTGCAGGAGCCTGAGCATTGCCCATGCGATCCACTGATCACAGTTGCAATGCTTTTCAGGCTCAAATGCTAAAAAATTAATAAACGCACATTTTTTTCCTTTTATTAATGCATGTGCATTTAATATTTTTTGGGGAAAGGGTGGATTATGCCTTTACCAATGTGTGTCTGATATCATCTATATTTTTTACTAAAGCCAAATTGCTTTTTGGCAGAAGCATGTCTTTTTTATGGCAAGGCTGGTCAACCTTCCTATCAATACCAATTTTTCAAGATGCCATTATCTTGTTGCAAGAGGTTTTGTCAAATAGAACAGTCTTTTCTTATTATATAAGTATGGCTTAGATAAAGATCAGATCACATTTTTTTACAGAGCCATTTATGTAGAAAGCCAGAAAGTTTGCAAAGGTTAACAAACTGTATTTAGTCACTGTTATTGGGCTCACATATATTATTTTCCTGTGCTAAGGTCTGGGGAATTTTGCTTGGTTTGATGTGAAAGTATAGTTCCATCCTATTCAGTGTTTTAACACCCTTGGCTTTGAATCCTGTAAGGCAAGCGCATCCCTTTGGTTTCAGCTGGTTTAAATGTATTTGACAGAACAGGCTGGAATTTCACATATCTTCCTAATATTTTATCGGCAATAATCTCACAGAAAGATGTTTAGTGGCCCGTGGGCATTGCTTTGCTGAATATATATATTTTTGAAACATTTCACACTTGAAAATTTGCAAGTATGCTCAAAGCCAGGATCCCTGCAGAGAGAAAAAATGCCATTTAAACACTCAAATCACAGCATCAAACAGCTCAGAATCTGGTGAGTCAGTTTGAGCAGTCACATTCTGTTGTGAATGAGCAGTGAGTGTATCTGTTTTACTGCCTGTAGGGCATTTCTTTCCAGTGTGTACGCATTTATAAATTATGTCTGATACAAACCCTGAGCGCATGGAAGTCATCTTACGAGTAGCTCAACAAATCAAAAGTAACAATAATGTAAGTTTTAAGTGGGATCCCAAGCAACCGTTTAACGCAATACAAGGTCAGCAGTTTGCGGGAGTGCAGAGCAGGTGGATGGCTCCTTGTTTAATGCTTTAATATATGATGGTTGAAGGTCTGATGTGCTGTATACTTCAGAGGGTTGAGAAGATCACTTTGGTGTGTCTGTCAGCGTCCTTGCTTGGTGCTTGAAAGAAAATCAAATGTCAAAGTGATATACTCAGCCCTGTTTCTGTTAATTGACGGATCGGATCCTGACCTTCTTTCATAGCGTTGGAAAAAAACAAAAGATTTATTAAGTTTTTGTTGTTGAAAGGCTAATAAACATAAGAACAACTCTAAATAGACATGAAAATGAAAAATACAAATAAAATGAAATATATAGTAATGTGTAAATTGCAGTAGGGTCATTAGAACTGAAAGAGGAAAATAATTTGTATCTAAAATCACCAAATCTTCATATCACATAAAGAAATACTTTAATGGTGAGCACATGCCTCCAACTGGCAGATACATATGCAGATATTTGAATGTTTTCCTGATGTTTAGCCTTTTTTTTCTCATTAGCTTTCTATGATACAACAGAAGTTTTCTGTCTTTGATTATCCATGATCTGCACTGTCAGTCAGCAGGATAGTGATTCATGAGGTTGTTGGGTATTAGATGTATTTTAGACACCTATTTAATTAAAGGAGAACTATGGGGTAAGTATTTTTCCCTGAGTGATTTTCACTCACCTCATAGTTCTCCTTTAATGTTAAAAGGTTTATATTCAGTGATTTCAGCTGTTCTTTTTGAAGGCTAAATTTACTTTCCTGACTATGTTTTGTTTCACACGCAGATTCATGGTGTAACATGAAACATGGTCACATTGCAAACCTCTCCCCCCTAGCTGCATCATCCATTTACAGGATCTGTGAATGGAGAAAATACAAGTCCCATCGGCCACTGCAGCAGAGACGCTTGTAGTTCCCAATGGAATGCACTTCTAGTCCATTCATTTTTCCTCCCATTCATGTTACTGAATGTCGGTACCTTGAACAGGAGGAAGAGTCTGCAGGAGCCAGACCATTGCACTCGCGATCCACTGATCGCTCTTGCAATGCTTTACTGGCTCCATTGCAAAAACATTTTTCCCCAAAAGCTGGACTTTGCCTTAGAAATGATAGTCTCTATTTGATTGACCTGGATAAAGCCACCCACAGACATAACAAAGTGTTTACCACATTTTTGACAACATTCCATGAAAAAAAACCTCTCTCAGATGTTAACCATATTGACCTGATCCAGATAATATGGGAACAGTCCCTTTAGGTATTGGAAATATCCTTCGATTATCATAACTGCTCATGCACACAGTCATATTAAAATACTACTATGCTGAATCTTTCTGCTAGAAGGTGGCAGAAAAACCAGTAACTTCCAATAAGCTCCTCTCTGAATGCAGGTTTGAGACTTTTTTATGCCCCTGAATGCTGCTCTAAAATATGAATCTACATGCCACACTGTCTGGGGGACACACGCAGACAGATAACAACACAGGTAAAGCTGACCATACACTATGCACATTTTAGCTAGTTCTGGAAGAACTGGCCAAAATGTGCACTATGGGTGTCGCTGTCAGCACCCTTCCGGCCAGCATCCCTTGATCAGCTGATCGAAGCAGCCAGTTGGAAAATCTTTGAACAGATAGTACTTGCAGCCAAGAAGCTGCAGGCACTGTTCGTGTATTTCGACAGCGGTCGGCAGCTGCTGTCAGAATAGAGGAAACATCGGGCGAATCCTCGATCAATTCTTCTAAGCATGATGGAGGAATCTTTTCTATTTTTTTGTTCAGTCCGTGGCTTGAATGAAAAGAATAGAACAGTGTATGGGTAGCTTTTCTCCAAAAAAAAATTGCAAATATTTGACTTGCCACCCAAGTCAGTTGGTATCGAGTTAAAGTACGGATTATGTTACATTAAACACAATGCCGCCACCTAGTGAAAGAACCAGTAATCACAGTTAGTGAAAGAACCAGTAATCACCATTAGGTTGTTGCGCCTGTATCTGTATAAAAGGCATGCTTGCAGTCAGAGGGGTACTTTATGCTGTATGGTGTTGTGGTGCATTGCCGCATTGCCATTCATTGGTATTCAGTTATATTTGTACCTCAAAGCACATATACAATGCAATGCTTTGGGTTGTGGTGATCTGTGTTTAAAAAAAAAAAAAAGAGTAGGATCTATTTTTTCCTGTGTCGAGATTCTCTGAAAGCCCATTCAAGATGAATTGCTGTCTAATGAACTGGGCCTAAATGTATGAAAATGCATTCATTGAAGCACACTGCTTTGTGGTGTGAATAAGGCCATTCTCAACCAGAGTTCTGTGGAACCCTAGGTTTCATTCAGAGATTGCTCGGGAGTTTCTTGAGCTTTGGCTGATTGATTTGTCATTTATTAGTGCCTGCATAGTCCTGGAGCCAACGCCACTTGGCAGAGCCAGCTGCATGACACCAACAATCTTTTTAGCCATCTGTAAGGTTTTCTAACCACCACTGTAAGAGGGCATTCTTCCTACCGGCCACCAATGTAAGTAGCATTTTGCCCACTAATTCCCAATGAATTGGTTTTAGCTGAAGTTCCTTGAAATCTGAAAATTATTTTAAGGGTTCCTCTGGTGTAAACGTGGCTGAATGAATATACACTCATGTAAATGCACACAAACACAGCTAAGCTCGCTTTAACACGAGTGCATCTAAATGCAGTGATCTGGGACGCATTAAAACTGTTTATACTTCCTAGATAACTTCTCCTTGATATCCTAAACACGGGAGTGCTAGTGTTTTAAACTATATAGGTTTGTAGTTGAGGATTTTTTTGTAACAAAAGGTCAATGTTGTTATGTTTAAAATAGTACCATTAACCAGAATTAAAATCTGTTTCTTTCAATCATGAACCGGCTAGAGTTTTGTTTTCTTATTTTATCTGCTAATCTTATTTTTGTGTGTTTTTTTTAATACAGCAATTGAATCACCCAAACATTATTAAGTATCTGGACTCATTCATTGAAGACAATGAGTTGAATATTGTCCTGGAACTGGCAGATGCAGGAGATCTTTCTCAAATGATTAAAGTAAGGACAATAGACCTCTATCTTACCTAGGAGGAATTCATTTTCTAAGTGCTTTGCATATGGTTCAGCATTTTGAATATGCTTCAGGGAGTACTTATGACACAAAGAATGTTGCTAAACATTATAGAATATAAAATTATTACAAATTATCAGTGATTATGTGACTGAGTGATGGTTGATGATAAAGGTCATATAAAGCATAAATTGCACACAGCTCCATTATAGTCTCTAAGAATTTTTTGCTAGGCACTGTAATAGTTAATACATGCTGCACTCTCATACAATAGGTACTTCCAGCTGAGCAGGGAATTTAGTTCTTAAGCAAGATCCTTCTGCGTTCAAGTGCTGATTTTACAGATCCATTCTTGCTCATATTTCTGAGATGATCCATAAGATATGTAGTCATTGAACTGACTAATGGCAAATCTACCTAAGGCATACAGAAGTTTTATTGTATAAGGGCTGTCCACTGTTATACTGACTCATGTAAAAAATAGTAGGCAATACAAAATGTTCAATATTCAATGTATTGACGAAGCAGCCTGCTTATCAACTATGCATATTTGAAGCATATACAAAGTCTACACATGTTATATGTTCATAGGCAGGCAGTCAAAATGAATGCACCTACCTGTCTAGGCTGAAACTATAGGTAAGTATGAGGAATACCTGGTTTAGTGCCTCCCCACCCACCACTACACACGAGAAAATGATTTGTAATATACACATAAAAATGATATGAATATAAATCAACAAAGTTTTCCTGTAAGTTCTGAGGTATATTGTCAGCATAAAGGGAACACACAGTTGTAAAAAAAAATGTTTGCAAATAAACGGTGAATACAGGCGCGATTGTTGAAAGACACTTCTACATCACAATACATATTATAAGAAAATAACAATACACTCAAGGCCAAAGATATTTAAGAGAGACACTATCCAAGCATAGCTTGGAAGTGATGGGAAATCTCCCCAACAGGACACAGACAGCAAAAAATAAATTGGCTGGGGTTTTAACCCTTCCATATTTCATCCCAAACTAAAAGGATATGTTTTGGCTATAATTACACTATAACATTCTGGTTTTCTGTTAATTTAGGCTAGATATTTCAACTTTCTTTTGAGAATTGGCACATACAAAATAAAGGCGTGTGGGCTTTCTTTGGTCAGGGGAGGTGGGGGCCGAACGGCAGTAAGTGAATAGCCGAATGCCGATCGGCTATTCTGCTTGATACCTCCGAGATACCATGCAGATTAGAAAATAACAGGTCATTTGGGGACGCTGATCTGTCTTTACAACTGGGCAGAGCGAGCCATGAGATCACAGCTTGCTCCGTCTAGCTATCATTTGCGTGGAGGTCAGCCGGCTTTTGTTGACCTTTCTCCATGCTTCGGCTGTCACTTCAGCTCAGTCGAGTCGACTGAGCTGCTCGGCTGCTGTACGGGCTATTGTGAATAGCCCGTACAGCAGCCCTTCGGTCCAACTGAACCGAAGAGCAAAGGTGGCCAAAGAGAGCCGAAGGATCAGGTTCTTCAGTGGATTAAGTTCTACTTGAAGACAAATATGCTATTTACCTTACATTAACTGTCATTTCTTTTTTGATCTGCTATTTGTTTATTTATAGTCTTTTTGAATGATAGGAGAGCCTCTTTAGAAGCTCCAGTGAACTTTTAGTATTTTATACAAGCTCATAATGTATTTTTCAGAGTTTGCTCCAGGCAAAAGGCCCATTTGTCACAGTTTGTGCTTCTAAGGCATTAAATATGTTGTTCAAGGTAATTAAGACAAGAGATGCTCATTACAGTGAAAAGGCATCTCAACCTGTCAGAGCGAGTTTTGTTCTCCGAAGTTGATTCAGTTAATTTGGTAAATGGGTTAAGTTAACTCTCAAGGCAGAAAATGGTCTAGAATTGGTTCTAAAGTACTTACTGTGGGGCCGTATTAAACAGAGAAAATAGTGTAATTGTTTTTTTTATAAAGATGATTAATAATTGCATTTTGATAGCTGTATAGAAGTGTAATTACTATTGATGGATTTTTGAAGATTAGACTATTTTTAAGAATGTGTATACCTGTGTGTGTTTTCTGGACAATCTTTCAAATTGTTTAGCAATTTATATTTTCAGTTGCTTTATCAAACCCATCTACAGTATAATTCTAACCCCCTCATACTCCTTCTAACTGATCACTGGAATAAAAAAAAAGAAACCTGCCTAAATGCCTGTTTAACTTGCCTAAAGTTGCATATTTAGACAAAACATAAAAGGTTGTAAGGGTTTCTGGAGGGGTGTAAATGACCGTCCAGGAGAGATATTTTAAAGAAATATACAAATTAAAATATCTCTCCTGGACGGTCATTTACACCCCTCCAGAAACCCTTACAACCTTTTATGTTTTGTCTAAATATGCAATTAGGGGGAGAGGTGTAAAACTAGGTATACACAGGCGGACTACCCATAATTTATTAGATTTGCCTAAAGTTGCAGTCACGTTACGCTTTGGTCCCAAGTCTTTCCTCTTTATTTACTACCTACATGGTCCTTCTGGTGTCCATGCCACTGCCCGCTTGATGTGGACACTTTCTATTGCTTGTCAAGCGGGAGGGTCCTCTAAGGATGCAGAAGAAGAGTGACATAATCTCAAGGGGGTAGGGGACTGGCCTGCGAGGGATTATCTGCAGCTCTGCATTAGTGGTCCCCCACTAATATAAAATATAAAAAATATAAACCAGTATAAAATATGCACCAGCAAGGCACCTGAAGGGGGGACTTCGGTGAGTATAACTTGCTTCACAAGGAAAGAAAAAATTAAACTCCCGTGTATGGGTTAGAGGGAGATCGCCCATATTATATAAATTCTCATTCTATCGGTCAATTTTGAAGAAAAATGCGTGTGTGATTTCTGTCTGCCTTTTCCATCAATTTATATTTTCAGTACTTATTTAATGTATCATTTCTGATTCTTCCCTCTTTTTTTAAAGATTATAACGTGTGTTTTCTGGGCCAGTTTGTTCTGCCTTTGCTTTTTTTTTTAAGCAACTTTTATTTTTAGTTCCTATTTAATGCACATCTTCAGATTTTCAGTTTTTTTATGTTATTCATTTTATGTTTTTCTCTTCCTGACATCTCTGTGAACCCTCCTAGACATAGCATGCATTAATTTCCAACTTTTTCTCCCTGGACCCCTCACCTTCTTTACGTTCTTGAACTCTACCTTGTGACAAGGATTGTTTTCTCTCTCTTAACAGTATTTTAAGAAACAGAAGCGATTAATACCAGAGAGGACTGTATGGAAGTACTTTGTGCAGTCATGCAGTGCCGTGGAACATATGCATTCCCGCCGGATCATGCACAGAGGTAATCTTAGTATCCAGCCATGACCTGTTCATCCTGAAGAGTAAACACCTAATCCTGCATGCGTGTACAGGAACACAACTGCTTCTCTATGCTTACTGCATATAACTATTTATCAAATACAACAAAAACAACCTTATAGCTTTTTCTAAGCTTAGAACAGAACAAATTAATTGTAAATCACAAATATTAAAATTGGAAACTATAAGATGCTTTTGTAATATTCACATGTTTATTAATTGTATTAATATGTGCTGCATTGACACATTGCACAAAGCTATTTATATTGAAACTCTTCCCCCAATAAAACCCCAGTGGAACTTCAGAGATACCACAAGACTCTCAATGTAAAACATTTCGGACAGGTTCAGACCTTTGGCTCTACCACATGCATAGTAAAGTACATTGCAATAAAGCAGACCATTAAGTTGAAATTACCAGCCAGCACACCATAATGGACCTTTGAATAGATCCCACCTTTTTTTTTTCTTCAGTGCACCGCAATGCAAAGATAGTTTACATTCGTGCAGTGCAAAAAGCTAAACAACACAGGTCCATTGTGGATGTCCATTGTCTTGTGGTATATTTAAAATTTCAGCATTCCTGTTCACCTTCATCTCCTCTGTATGTTACTGCTGGTGGGTCTTAGTCATTATAAAATATATGATACTTAGGGGTCTTTTCACCCTTCCAATGCAAATAGGCTGTGCTTCTGACCCTCAGTAGTGATAGCGGAATCTGCCCGGGTTTAATTTGCCTGGTCTAAGGTTTTGCAAACTCAAACTTTGCCGTCTTCAGTGAGGAGCAAATCCTGCTGTTAAAATGTGTACATTTTTGGGGTATGCTAATATGCATACAATTGTCAAAAAGGGCATGGGGAGCCTGGACACTGCAATGGGAGACGTGTACACTTTTTAAAAATACTGTACAGTGGGGAGAGGTATCTTTACTCCGAAAATAATACTGTTCCCTCATACAACATACAGTGTTAGCAACACAGGCATTACACATTTTGGATGTGTCATTGATTTTTTTAAACTTTTATATACATTGCTCAGCATAAATGAGTATACGCCAACATATTTGTCAGAAAAACTTTCCTTTCCTTTCAGAATCAACATTTTCTATGGGACACTATACTACAAAATACTCCCACAAATGCTGGCCATTGATTGCAACCAAAATTTGTTAATTTGCACACACAAAAAAGTATTTTCCCTAACAAATACATTCAAGACCATGTTGCAAAAATAAATACACCCCAAAGTGAGAAAGTCATAGGAGCAAAGCTAACCTTTACACAACAAAATCGTAATTAAGAAGAATTCAACTACAGGTGAGTATAATTATTCATTAAACAGGTGTCCAGCAGACAGTTGATTATAAAAGGGCATTACTTAACAAAGAAAACCCCTTCCCATTTCATGCTGTCAGCAATGGCACCACATGGAAGAGAAATGTCACAAGGCCTGAGAAAGAAAATAATTTCTTTACACAAGAACGGTGAAAGCTACAAGAAGATCAGCAAAGCCTTACTTATCAGTCAGAATGCTGTAGCAAAAGTGATACGAAAATGTAACAAAGATGGAACTGCAACCATCTCACAGAGACGTCCAGGCCGTCTGCGGAAGTTAACACCTCGACAGGAGCACCTTCTGATGAGAAGGGTTGAAGAAAATCGGCATGCAAGTTCACTGCAGTTAGCTAAAGAAGTATCAAGCCAAACTGAGGTGATTGTTTTCTGTGACACAATACAGCGTGCACTACAGAGGAATGGCATGCATGGGTGTCGTCCACGAAGGAAGTCTCTCCTAAAGCCCATGCACAAAAAAGCCAGCCTACAATTTTCCAGTGCCCATGCTGAAAAATAAGAAGACTACTGGGACTCTGTACTCTGGAGTGATGAGACGAAGATCAATGTTTTTGGAACTGATGGCTTCAAAACTGTATGGCGTCACAAAGTATGGAGTACAAATCCTGGTCATCGTGCACTTTTCCAACATGAAAATGATCCAAAACACAGATCTAAGGCCACTGTTGCATTTCTGAAGAAGAACTGGATGAAGGTAATTCAGTGGCCAAGTATGTCTCCTGATCTGAACCCAATCGAACACCTGTGGGGAATTCTGAAGAGACAAGTTGAGCATCACTCTCCTTCCAGCATCCAGGCTCTAAAAGAGGTCGTTCTTGTCACACGCCAATTGGAGGCAGAGCCTGCGCCCGCTGCTCAGTCCGATAGTGTAGGAAGTAATGGGAGGTCAGATTCAGTTGAACTTACCTCATTAGCATATACTGCCTATTGGTTTATCCTCCTACTTAAGGAGACAACTAGGAGGTTAAGGTCATGTTCTGAAGAAGGGGGCGTGACCCCGGAAACGCGTCAACGACGTCACAACTCAGTGACATACAGACAGATTGCAGTCTTGAAACCGCTGTTTCTCTAAAATCATCCATATACGCTGTTGTTTGACCTACCATTGTGAGTACCCTTGTACTTTTGTTTATGGTGTCTATTTGAAATTAAAAGGATTATCTGCACCAGGTTGGGCGCCCTTTTTTCTCTTTTGTCTTCCAGTTTTACAGTCTCCCCGGCTGAAGTGGGGCAGCACCCTTAGCGATCCTGTACATGTAACAAACACATCATCAGGAATAGTCCACAGCGCTTTTGCTTCTTCTTATAAGTTATATTATTAACCTTACTTTCATGTAATGAGTTAAACAAATGTTCTATAAAACTTGGTTTTGTCAAAATTTTGGAAATTGAAATCTTACTGTTCAAAGGGGTGTACTCATTTATGCTGAGCACTGTATAGCTTGGCTTATATACAGCAGCAGCACCCTAACTAGCTTAATTTCAAGTTGGAAGAAAAGCCTTATTAGGTAGTTTTGGCAGTGACACTTGATTTTTTTTAACTAAAGTGGTAACAGGCCTGAATTAGCAGGTAGAAGTAGCAGCCGCAAAAGATCTAAAAGCTATAGGAAAGGTTACTCTTAAAAACATAAAGCTAAAGCTTTCCTTTCTACAAATTGGCCAGTGAAAAAAACTATGTATTAGTTTACAAGAATTACAATACAAATATTCCCCAAATCTTTTAAAATATAGACTGCAGATATGTGATTGGTAGAAACTGGCTAGTGTTAGAACAGTACGCAAGTATTTTTTTACACTTATTTATTTTATTTTTTTACACTTTTCAATTTTTTTTAAACTTAAAAATGTTATTTTATTTAATTATATCAAGCAGTCATTGTGAATTAATCTCACTGTTACTGCTTGATAAATTAATACATTTTTGGTTATTAGGCTGCTTCAAACTTCAGAACAGCCGATAATAAGTTAGTGACACTGATCCTGCAGCAGTTCAGGATTCAGCTGTCACTAAAGGTTTTCTGATTGTTGCAACAACGATCAGCAAACTGAAACATTCTTCTTTCAGGAATAGATACATTATGTATCTATTCCTGAAAGTGAAAAAAAAAGCCAGTATAGCTTGAGAGAGATATCTCTCGATCTATACGAGCTGTCAGAATGCCGGCAAAAGCCGGCATGTTTGCCGGCTCTGCTGTGACTCTCAGACACCCGATATTAAGGTATCGGGTGTCTGAAAAAGGTTAACCCTTTCATTAATGGATGCCTCTAAACTTAGGCATTCTCAGCAGTTACCAGCCTTCTAGTGCAGCAAATAACTCGTCACGTACTGTGTACGTGACGAGTCATTTGGTCCCTTTGTGGCGGGACGTACAGTGTACGTCTCCCGTCACAAAGGGGTTAAGGGACAAAATCAACAAATGTTGTACAGTGACTGGAGTGTATGTAAGCAGCTTGATTAGGCCACAATATAGGAGAGAGAAATGATGCAGGTTTTCCCCTATATTAAACATTAGAGTGTTTAATCTAAGAGACAATACCCACAAATATCTCTGAATGCCTCTGCACTGGAATAGGCCCTAAACATCAAGGCACAAGGCAAGATTGAAGCTAAAGCCAACAAATTTGGCAGCTGAAGTACAGCTACTGATTCATTGTGTGGCACCTTTACAGTGCCTGTGCACTAGAGTAGGTTGCGGATTTTCAGACACAAAGCATGATTTACCCTGCAGAAAACTTTAGAAATGTGGCAGCTTTTTTGGGGCTGGAGTGACAATTAACAGTTTAATCTGTAGCATCGGCAGCTGGGCTTTTGTAGTCATTGGTAATCCAAGACTGGTTCTATTTATTGAAAGTCAATGATTGTGTGATCAAATAATTCCGCTGACTCCTTAGTGCCAGTTTGTGGGGCTATGGGGGATAAGCAAAATAGGAGGAGGAGGAAGAAGAGGGCAAATTAGCAGCAGCTGCAAGCAACTGGCTGCTGTTTTGGAGAAGGAAGAAGAGGAAGACTTTGTCAGCCACTCAACTACCTCTTGCATGTGCTGTGGCTATATAGCACACCCACTATGAAATAGAAAAGGCAGATGTGCCCTGCCTCTAGGTGGTGCAATCTGGCCACCAATTTGTCCTGCAGAACCTGCTTGTCCCCTACTACCTCTGTGTCCAGAACCTCTGTCTTTCACATCAGGCTTGCCTGAAATTTTTTAATACAGGGAGTTTATAAAAAAAAAATATTAAAAAGGGAGTTGCCTAAATTTAATTACAGTTATGGCAATAGGGGGTGTAAATATGTGATGCTTTGGTGCACACTACTTGCCCACACAAGTATGCGGTTATGTGCTGCAAACAAGGGGCCAGCAACAAATGTACGCTAAGAACCCTTAAAAAAAGGCAAAATAAAAAATATGTACCTCTTCTACCTACCTAAAATAATGAATACCAGAAAACAAGAAATAAAACAATAAAAAAAGATTGCACGGCCTGCAGCTTAACAACTACAATTGTTTCTGGCACACAAAGATAGTCATAAAAAGAACTGTTGTATCTCTGAAATGCGTACTCGGGATGGGGTTACACAAAATACACCACAATGCAATCCACAGTAATTTAGAGAAAAAAAGCACATTATACT